CAGCATCTTTCTGATAACTGATATTGAGATTATGATATTCCTTAAATAAACTATGTAGTGGCAGTTTAAGAATATCCGCCACCAACGCCAATATCATACCGTGGATGCCGTAAGAGGTGACAGAGGGAGGGAGATGGGCAGCGACGTCTTCCTATTAACGACTAAAAACGTCTAAGAATTCGTGGTTGCCAACCCGCTTGCCAAGCGTGGAAACTATGGCAAATGTACCCCTGTAATGTGATCTATGGCGAAGGTTTATGTTTAGCTGTGGACTTTTGATAGGCTATGATAGTAAAAACACAAATGGAAATTCATTTAAAAAGTTATAAGTATGAGGTAAATACAGCTTAAAATATATACAGACGACCTGGTAAGACAAGCAGGAAGTAATAGATGCAGGTGGCTCAGGACCATGCTCTGTGGCATTCCTTGGGGGAGGCCTATGTTCAGCAGTGGACTTGTGAAGGGCTGTAATGATGATGATGATGATGAAATACAGCTTGAAGCTACCGCCTACATACGTCCCACGGCAAAGCTTTCCTTTTGCTTGGGTAACAGAGTTCAAGTCAGTACGGTTTACCATCTTCGGCTGCATCACCATTTAACAAGATAATAGACAAGCACTGGCTTGTAAAAAAATAGTGGATATTTGCATTGCTGTCTAGACCGTGATACGTTTACAACGTGGTAGAGCCATGCTGCAGCTATATTAGTAGTATAGTTGTAGCACGAATGGGTCGGCTCGACCGGGAACGGACCACGCACACACAGAATACCATCGTAAAATGGCAGCTTGACACTGCTGTGTTTCGTATGGTGAGTAGAGAACCGGAGACCCATTTTACTGAAAAAGAGGCATTCCATCTTAGTCCTCACGGGTGACAACGCATCTGCATTTTGATTCTTTATTGAGGATAAATGTAGATGTCTATGGGTCACAGCAACCACTTCAGGTGGACTGTGTGCTCGTTTGTCACCCTATCCCGTATCCTATGTAGATAAAAAGAAAACACTAACTCGGATATAGTAACATTTAGCACGACTAAACTCTCCATCTTAATTTATTCAAATAACTTTTATAACTGTTGAGTAGTAAATGTAATAAAAGACAGTTTGCAGTTATTTCGTGTAATTGCCATGAAAATTACTTACTTATAATTAATTTGAGTAGCGTCAAGGGTCGTTCTATCACCAGTTGTTAGCATAGATTAGTTAATTCATTCATTTATTCATTCTTTACAGCCTCAAAAGTCCACTGCTGAATATATATATATTAAATAAAAAAATAAAAAAATATTTATATCTTTATCAAGGCATACTAGAGGCACCGCTATTCTAATGATATGAAATATTGAGATAAGCCGAGGTGTGTGTGTGAGAGAGCGTGTACGGGAGTGCGTGCGTGCGTGCGTGCGTGCGTGCGTGCGTGCGTGCATGTGTGTGTGTGTGTGTGTGTGTGTGTGTGTGTGTGTGTGTGTGTGTGTGTGTGTTGTGTGTGTGTGTGTGTGTGTATTTTTATGTAATTTTACTTTATTCTTATACCATTTAATTCTATGACGTAGAATGTTCTATGTATATTTTAATATATTTTATATTTTTTTTCCTATATACATATAATAGATTACCTCCTAAGGGTGATTTTGCCATAGTTTTCATTCTCGGCAGGCGTGTAACCACAGTTTTAGTATTACGTAGAGTTGTCAGAAGATTCCACTGCCCATCTCCTGTTTACAGTTTTCCTCTGTCGTTTCTTACAGCACTTACGTTATGGGTTATTGAATACTCCTACACTTAACATCTGTCTTATAATATTCATGTTTTTTACTATTACCCGTTCGATTTTATAGTCACGTACTTCTTTATTTATAACAACTATAACAAAAATCTTACGTATCCATGACAAAAAAGAATTAGTGCGTTGGCGTGTATTTCTGCGATTAAGTAAGTAATGAATCGATAGATACATAAAATTGTAATTGTATTTAATAAATTATATAAGCCGTAAAATTACTGGCAGGTTAGAAATTTGTGATAAAAAAACCTTCAAAAGAGCGTACATTCTTAAGAAGGTATTTTAAATAATAGATTGCTTGAAACGCGAACTTACGGTAGTGGCTCAAGAGTTTCCAAGTCAATTAGACTCGTTCTTGATTGCGCGGCCGTTAGCGAGAACCCGGAGTAATTTTAATTAAACAAGAGTCCAACAATGCGTGAATGCGAAATCTTGACAAGGCGCTATACTTTGGTATTAGTGATGTGAAACGTATTCAAGAAGCACCAGCGAGTCTAGCCACGTTAACATTCTACTATCGTATATGCTAATAGAAAACTAAAGTAGTGAATGATATCAACGAGTCACATGAATCTCACATAAATTTACGTTGATATGAGCAACTTGGCTAGCACGCTGATATTTAACATTGCCTAATTGTCAGTAATAATTTTAGCGATTTTATTTACCATTCTAAGCCAATGCTTGAAGAATACAGCTATCTCAGCTGATAGTAAGTGGTGATGCAACCGAAGATATAGGGCTCATTGACATAGCTTAACAAAAGCTTAACAACCTAACGGGGATTGCAGTTGAAGCCCCCCGAAACAAGGGCATCGTTGGCCAGCCGCCGATGCAAGTTTTACGCACACTCGGCCAAAAACTTCCATCCCATGCCTAGGTGTATTTAGTATCTAGGTGACCACGGAACTACTGACTGCACCTGTACGCCCGAGACGGTAGAGTCCAAGCTGTGTCAATTGCGGCGAAACGGAACACCCAGCGAACTATCGTGGGTGTTCTAAAGCGCCGCGATGGGAACAGCTTGGAAGTAAAAGCCGTCCCAGATGCGCGGGCGAAGCCAGCATGTCCACCTCTCGTCTGCCTGCCGCTAAACCTGCACCGTCCTCGGTGCTCACACTTTCACCTCAAACCTTCACCAAATCCGCCCCCAACGCCGAGGTATCTCTGCAAGGAGCAAGCCTTCTACCATGCTCACCTCCCGCGCTGAAACCCAATGCTAGTTGCCTCTGTTGCCAGGTCCCTAAACCCAAGTCTGTCCCACAAGGCTCTTCTTCCTTTGCCGCCGACTTAGTGTGCGGTTTTATCAGCAACATTAACGTTGCTGAATTATCTTCTCTGGGACACAAACTCTGCGGAGCTACCGCCCCTCAGGACAAGATTGAGCATATAAGACTAATCGACGCAACTAAAAAAATATTTTGGTGTGTTTGGTTAAGCGCACTGGAAAGACCAGTGAAATAAGAAAGACCAGTGATAGATAAATAAGAAAATAACTTAATAAAACCGTAGTAATAAAATACAAGAAAGTTTATGCAGTGTTAAATCAGATGATCTTTAAGAATTTCGGATGTTTAATAAAAACACTCAAATCACAGATATTAGCAGGCAGGCACATCACTAGATGTAACGATTAAATTTAAACGATACGCCAACGCGGCTCAACTCGCGGTGATATTTTTTTTTTCATATTTGTTATTCAAGTTTGGAAATTCAAATTGCTTTTATGTTTCTATAGATATATCGCGCTACAAACTAGTGTAATGAGAAAAGTTTGCTTACGAAATATAACGCGTAATATTAAAATTTACGCTACATCACCCATCGTAAAGCATTTGTTGATTACAATTAATCCTGTAAATAAAGAAAATGTAGTCGAGTAGATTTTTCGGAAACAAAGTAATCGTGCTAGAAAATCTAGCACGGGTCTACTAGCGTTAGAAGTACCTGGAATTGAGGATCCGGTTGCATGTTGTTAAAAATCCTATTTCTTTTGAGAAGATTCCGATCTTCAGGCGGCAACCCAGCAATAAGACCCGTATTTTAACTACTAACAATAGCTTTTAAAAAAGTTGGTTTCTCAACATAATTTATTATTAAATCAATATTCAAAAAACAAGTAACGTTTTTGAAATAGTATTATTTTTAAATGAAACTAATTTTTACGGATTTTATCGCGTTTAATTTAAATTTTTAATTCCAGACGTTTCGTTTGCTTTACAGCACCCGTAGTCACGGGGGGGGGGGAGAGGTATTTGACGTCCCGATGTCATAGTTAGCCCGGCTACCTTCAGTTTAAACTAAAGGTAGCCGGGCTAACTATAAAGCTGTAGCTGTAAATACCCGAGAGGTCGGGAATAAAAAAAGTTAAATTAAACGCGATAAAATCCGTAAAACTTAGTTTCATTTAATGTGTAGTCTTCGCGTAAATATAAGAAATCATTGTAGTGTTAAAAAAGAAGTCTTTCTTGAAATCCATGCGGGATACAGTCTTGGCAATTAAATTCTAATCAAGACTAGATTTACCTGGTCAAGCCATAATTTAAAAGAAGAAGAAGAAGATTTACCTGGTCAGATGCGTAACCCTAGCTACAACCTACCTGAACTTACTATTAACCGTATACCTAACCTATACATACATTAAATAAAATGAGAGCCTGGTGAAATGGGAGATCGATAAACCCGGTGAAACGAGTCAGGATAGTGCGTCCGCTTATAAAGATGTTCACAAGATGATCATAGTAATGACAAATTAATTGATAAAATGAATATATTAATGAAAACTAGTTTTGTCGTAAATTTTAATAAAAATATACATTTTTAATGGATGGTTACTGCAATGGGTGCTGCTCATCCTCTCTCTCTTCCACTTAAAAAAATTTACCTACTAAAATGCTTCAAATTGCCACTTAATTTTAAAATTTTCATATGTACAATTTCAATATGTATTCCGGAGAGGGAGGAAGTTTGGCAGGAGGTTTCCCTTGCTTCCTCCTCCTTCCCCAAGCCTCACCAATTACAATTGATTTTTCTTTTCTAAAATAATTGAATATCATTTACAAAAATTACAAATTATTTATATTTTTGACATTACGAAACAAAAAGAAACATTGTAATACAGTACTTGTAAAATGGTCGACTAGTCACATCTCTTAGAATTAAAAGTTTGTAGAATTGATTAAACATGAACGAACAATTTTATTTATAGGGTGTACACGAAGACACAAAGACGACCAAAGGCCACCACGACAAAGAAGACCACTTGGGCAAGTACGACGACCACGGAGGCGTCGACAAGCACCACCACGACGAGACAGGCCACTACGGCCACCACCACCACGAAGAACATGGCAAGAAGCACGCCAAGGTAACACGCATGTAGTAATTATTGAAATACGTATACGTTTTAGAGCCACGCTGCAGCTATATTATGATTGTACTACGAATGGGTTGGCTCGACCAGGGAAGGACCACGCTCTCACGGAATACCAGTGTGAAATAGCATAATTATGCTGCTGTGATTTATATGGTGAATGTATGGAACTGGAGACCCTTTTTACTAGTAACGAGGCATTCTATTTTAGTTCTCACGGGCACAACGTATCTGCATTTCGATTCGATTCCTCAATTAATTAATCGAGAATAGATGTAGGTGTATTTTTATAGAATAAGCGTGTCAAACGAGCACACAGTCCACCTGATGGTAAGTGGATGCTGCGGCCCATAGACATTTACTTACCCCTTCAATTAAGGGTCAAAATGCAGATGCGTTGTCACCCTTGAGGACTGATATTGAATGCCTCGTTTCCAGTAAAAAGAGTCTCCGATTCTCTACCCTCACCATACGAAACACAGCAGCAGTAAGTTGCCATTTTACGCTGGTATTCTGTGAGAGCGTGTTCGTTCGCTGATCGAGCCGGCTCACTCGTGCCACAACCATTATATAGCTGCAGCGTGGCTCTACCACCTCAAATATTTTGAACAACAATGGAATGTCTTACTTTCTTCATGTTCAGTACGAGGAATCGGGTAAACATTCGAAAGGCCACAGCACAAAGGGCAGCCACGATATCCACAAAAAGGAAGAGTACGAGAAGAACGTTGAATTCTTTGAGGAAGATGGGGATTCATTTGAAGACGAGAAACACGGTGGACATCATGACGAGAAGAGTCACGCGAAGGTCAGATATTTCATATACTTCGTTATTTTTAGTATGACAGGTTATGCTAAATATAGTAAATACAACTCCACTGGGCCACGGAGCTTTGGCGCTTTTTTTTTAAATGAACGTTTAATTTTTATTACTCTGAGATTGTGTTCTATTATTGCAATGGAATAACAAAATTATTATCAACAAATTATATATACCTATTGTATTTTTTTTAATTCTTTTTTTATCACGCGGATCGTGACGACGTAATTTTAGTAGCAATTTCACAAAAACCTTTCTGAATGTCTAGCCTTAAGATGTAATAGTGTTGAAAATAATGTTTCCTTTATCAGTCTTTCTTCATAATTCAATTCTGAACGTAAGGTCAACGTATTTTTGCGAAATTTTATGAAATGTTTTAGATCGACAGCAGGCTATGGTAACCCGTTGTTCACCTGCCCTGCGCCAATTCATACATGCATACATATACTTACAGATATACACACATACATACATACAGGTGAATCTTACAAAAGCATGTTAATACGTTTATGTTACAGGGTGGTCACTTTAAGCAAGGAAAGCTCAAGGCCTCACACGAGGGACACGTCAAGGGTGACACGGGGCATTTCAGCAAAGAAGGATTTGGCAATTACCACAAGGTACACTTTACTTGTTATAATTAAATTTATTTCATTTCAAAGAATTATTAATTATTACATACTAGCGTTCTGCTCCGGCTTCGCACGGGTGATTTCTGGATATCGACAATTCCACCTACCGGGTCCAATTGTGTATCTCAACCATCCAGGGATCCTCTCAAACACATACAAAAAGGTCATCAGAATCACCAGAGACTAATGGACATCAGTTGGCTTTTATATTTTTAATTATTTTTTACGTGGTAGAGCCATGTTGCAGCTATAGTATAGTTGTAGCTCGAATGAGTCGGCTCGACCAGGGAAGGACAACGCTCTCACAGAATACCAGCGTAAAATAGCAGCTTAATGCTGCTGTGTTTCGTATGGTGAGTGTAGAGAACCGGAGACCCTTTTTACTGGAAATGAGGCATTCTATCTTAGTTCTCACGGCTGACAACGCATCTGCATTTTAATTCGCAAACGAAGATAGATGTAGGTGTCTATGGGCCACAGCAGCCACTTACCATCAGGTGGACTGTGTGCTCGTTTGTCACCCTTATTCTATATATATAGAATAAGAATAAGACAACGAGGTACTCCATTCTTAGTTCTCAGGGTGACAATGCATTGGCATCTTGATTCCTAATCGAGGATAGCTGTAGTTGTATATTATCTGCAGCTTCTTCTTACTACCATGTGAAATGTATGCTCATTTTTCACTCATATTTTATAAAAAAACTTGATTGAAACGTGTAGAATGAATATTAAATTTATACCTAATTTTTAGGGTCATAAATCGGCCAACGGACAAGACCATCACGGTCACAAAGGCAAGCAACACTTCCACCACAAAGGTAAAGAAGCCGGCAATAAATGGATATACCACCACGGCAATCCACCCAGGACAGCTAACCTCGTCCCGATCGACAGGCGGGCCGATCCTTACCTCGTCAATCCAAGGTTTTTCGGCTAGAAATAAGAATTCTACCGACTTAGGGAAATACATTCGAGCTATTGCACAAAATATGCGATTAATATTTATATTGTAATTCAAATCTCAAATGTCATACCGACTTACAAAATGTAGCTAATTAACAGTCTCAAGTTAAGACTATGGTTTTAGAAGTCCTTTACACGAAAGATGTTCAACACCTTCCTTCTCGTTATTAAATATTGGCAAAATTTGACTGAAAATGTTCAAACACGAATACCGCCTCATTTCAAAAAGTTGTTTATAGTTGGTTAGTCTTAGGATTAAACTAGAGCTTGTTTCAATAATTAGTCCCGCTAAAATGAAAGGTATCGAATTTGACAGCCATGCTGAATTTCACGAAGAGTGTGGCACCACGACTAAGGCGGTTTCTTTAATTAGAAATACTTCTCAAAGCTTAAACCCAAGACTATCGACAAATCACCTTTTGGAATAAGACGGTTTATGTTATAACATGTTTTAAATCGTGTGTTAGTTGTTCGATCTGGCAAATTAAAATAATGCTTAAATAAATAAGTAAATATAAACAAAGTAGATAAAAGAAAAAGGCTCAGTTTCTGTTGTGATTGTAACCTAATGCCGCAGATCGATTATAGTAATCCCACTTTAGTGGTTACGAATTGAATTTTCTAAACCGCTTACCAGATTACTGATAACATATATTTTATAATAATATTACTTCTCAATATTTTTTACGTTAAATATTATCATATTAAATTTTGTAAATATGAATAGAAATAGAGCTCTTTTTTGGATAATAACCAAATGAAATTTCATATATTTTTTATATATATTTGAGTATTACGGTTTTTATTCATGTTTGATCATTTAGATACTTAAATACGAATAAATATTATTTATTTCTTTCTACATATAATTTTCTATTTCAAAATCAAAGAAAAATATTTCAAGTTTAACTTCTTATTATTAAATAATTTGATTTTAACACTTTATTAAGAGCAATTAGAATAGCGTGAGTAGTATCACATTGCGCAATATACATTCATGTCTTCGTAATATTTATAATATATCGATAGTGAACATACAACATATACATATATAACATACATATATTAGGCAGTTATAATGTATTTAAATATTTTATTCATAAAGTATTTAACATCAGCAGAAATTAACAATAAGAATAAAAATGTTGAATATAAAAGGATAGAATACGATACACACAACAAATGACAAACGAAAACCTTTGCTGGAGTGTCACCGAAATAAAGAACTAAAAAAAATTGTTTATTTATCACTATCCAAATACCTTTACAAATAAAATATAATACTTACTAAGTATTCTTATTAAACTATTGTTACCTTCAATTTTCTAAAGTTTACTTTGTTAATGTATTACTTTTTTATATTTAAACTTTTAAAAATGTAAAAACCAGATTCAAAAAACTAGAAAGACAATAATCGAAGTCTGTGAACGTGGTAAAGAATTATTTGCCCTGTCGCGCAGAACCTTTGTAAATTGAAGTTTGATGATTTTCTCATAGATCCTATCATAAGATCTTGAACAAATTTATATGGGAACACCCTTTTCTAAAAAATAGAACCACTTTAATATGACAAATTGATAACGAGTAAAACATATTAAGACGACTAGTAAACCTTAATTTTTTTGAAGTCGGTTGAAATTTATTATAAAAATTTAATTAACTCCGAAATATAAACTGTGAAGCAGAAACTACTGGTTGTTAGTTTTTATTACATTTCCCAATTTTCTTTTGTAAATATATTTTGTACAAACTTTTGAATACGCTGTAAATATTTTTTTAATTAAAGTTGTTAAGAATTTGTAATTTGTTTTATTTATTTCGAGAATTTTATACTTTTCAAAAAAATATTCAGGGTGCTGTTTATTTAAGTCATTGTTGTAGTTTTTTCGAAGTTCGATAGCTTACAACATTTTAAAAACTAACTCGATGCTTTCAAATAAAAAATATACATACCCATAATATTATTAAGTACTAGCTGTGCCCGCGGCGTAGCTCGCGTACATAGATTTTACTTAAAGAATTTGACGTTTAGGGTAAGAGAATATTAAACGATTTATATCATTACTGTATGAATAAGTGGTAACAAAATAAATCGATATGCTCTTAGTTCTAAGTCGTTTATGATAGAGCTTCTGTGTAAACGACGTTAGAAGTAGACTTAGCCGGGGCGTACAGAAAAAGGTTACGGGGACTACTAACGCGGGAAAAAGCAATATAGAGTTGGCCATGTGCAAAACAATCAGTACTGAGGTCCACTCCTGCAACGCGTTGAGTGGGAAACACACTTAAAATAAGGATGTTAGATGAACATCGATGTTAAAAATTAAAACTTCGATGTTTTAACATCGATGTTTGTATGTCAAACATCGAAACATCGACGTCAATGAACCCATAATCGATAATTGGGAACTTGCAAATAATGCGAACTCACGAAATCAATATCAATTAAATCTTGAATCTGCTCTGAAGATTAAAAATTTTGAATAATTCAGAATTTCTGAACCTAAAAAAATGTCAGTATGGTGAGTCAAACTTAAGTGTCATGTGTCTCCTGTAATGTCACAATGGTCACTGCTTTCGCTTTATTTTGTAGTGTCGTTGTCGGTTGTCGCATAATAACTATTCTACGTAAATTGATATTCAAGTTAATTGTTACTTTTCCCTTGCTGTGTATACCCACATAATTTTGAAACAATGTGTAAGTATCTACACATATACAAAAACCATCGATAATGGTTAACATCGATGTTTTGAGTAGCCTAAACATCGAACATCGATGTTGAGCTATCGATGCCAACATCGATGTTATTATCCCTATCTTAAAACTGAAGCCTGAGCCGTGGTTAGCGCTCGCTGTAAGCTTCACAGTACTCGAGCAACCCGGGTTCGATCCCCGCCGGCGCCAATGAAATTGTTAATTGCAATTGAATAAAACTATTTTTTTTTTGGGGACTGAGTCCCCCGTGACCACGGTTGCTGGAAAGCAACCGAAACGTCGGGAATATAAAATAAGTTAATTAAACGCGATAAAATCCGTAAAAAAAAAATTAGTTTTATTCAATGTGTAGTGTTCGCGTAAATATAAGAAATCATTTGTTAATTGCAATTTTAAGTGCTGATTTACCATGTGCTCGGCAGTGAAGGAAAACATCGTGAGGAAACCTGCATGTTAAAGAAATAAAAAAAAATATTTCGATGACATGTGAAGTTCGCCAACACGTATTGGGGCAGCGCGGTGGACATTTCCTTGCCCTAAAACCCTCTCAGAAATGAGAGGAGGCCTGTGCCCAGCAGTGGGACGTAAATAGGCTGCAACTTTACTTTACTTAAAACTGAAAGGAAAGTTATTTGGTATTAGAGGGATTCTGGCTATAAAACAATATCACTATCACGACATTTATTGCAATTTAGCTACTTTTAGTCGAGTTTTGTTGAATAATTGAATTGAATATTTCAATATCTCTTTTTTCTGGTTTTTGTTTCTGATGATTTTTGTGATGTGTTGTTAGCCTACACGGCTCTTATAGGCAGGCATAGATTACTATATGTATACCTTACAGGCTTGCAACTTCGTCAGACTCATGGACATAAATTTTTTTTTTTTTTTGCGCCCGAAGCAATTGGAAAAGGGCTACCCCGGAGGGAGGCAGAAAATGCATTACGCATACCACGATGGCCGGTCCATCGTGGTTATGGGGGACTCACTACCTACAAGGGGAGCCTAAGTGATACCCCCTAAAAACTGCCTTTGGGGACTGGCAACTAGCTGTTGAGAGCTTCATATGCCGTATCTAAAGCGACCCTCTTTTAGGAAAAGAGGGCGCAGTATAAATTATTTCATTGAGTCTCAATACGATTCACGTGCGAAAAATCTTAACACCGCAATTCAGAAAAGGTTGTAATTTGTACAACGCCATCTATGACGTTCTTTGTGAGAAAACATCCTTTTTTAATTTAAGGAAAACATATTTTTTACTGTGTTTTAAGTACTATAAGAGAACGATACGAAATATATTATAATAGAACGTTTTTTTTACACACGAATCTTTTTATTACTATTTCTGAGATTTTGTGGCGCCATTTAACAAATTCAAACCTACATTTCAAAATAATAATCATAACTTTCGATAGAATTAACCAATTTCAATAAAACAAAGATTAAATGAACTTGATAATACGCTTTATGATTTTCTTAAGGATTTCATTGAGAAAAAGATGTTTACTCAAAACGTCATGCGTCCATAAACAAACAGACAGACCGTCAGATAGTACAATTCTAAAAATTATAAAAATGTACTTATTTAATTATTTACAGTCCCCATAGTGATTTTAGTCACAAATTAATATACTAATACAATATTCAGAATCAGACACAACATGTTATTACCATTTTTATTATATGTATAGATTTAAAGAGAGATGGCGCTGTTAACATCAATTCTAAAAATAAGAGATTAATTGACACGATTGATACAATAAAAAACATAAAAGAACTTATAAATCAGTGCCTGCATAGTAAGCAAAAAAGAAAGTTTGATCCTCGCCGAAAAACGAAATTGTCAATAGCTCTTAAAATTTGATTTACCACATAGAGTACTCGGCGGTAAAAACATAAAAAATAAATGAGATTGTCAACACACAGTGGGGCAGCGTGTCGTTAATATAAAGGTTAGAAGCAAATATGAAACTCATCTACAGGAAAAAATTTTAACCTGCCTTTTTGTATCACATTTGTGCCACACCACCATCTATCGATGAAATTGGTTAACTATTGTAATTTAATTTAGTTTAGATAATAAGGTTAATATATTTTGTATATATTTATTACGTTCTTTATGTAATACTTTTGTTTACTGCGTTTTAGATAGAATTATATCATTATAGAACATTGTTTTACATCATTATATTATGATTTATAATATGATATTAATTTTAAATTGTACTTGATGACTCATCCAACGCCACTATGGAATA